GATGAAGCCGGTGTTGCCAAGTACTTGCGTGCAAGCTGGGACATTTCTCTGTGTGCTCCTTCATGTGTGGACCGCCATTCTTGGGGACAGTCATCAATGCCAGCAAGATGCTCTGCCTTGGAGCGCTCCAGACATTGCTCAAGACTGTCCTCCTCCTCTTCACAAGAAGACTCAAGTGCAAGCAAAAGAGTTGGTTTCTTCGTCGGAGGCTCAGGCGTGACTTGCTTATCTAGCTGTGCGGGCACCTCCTGAAGCAAGGTGTGGACCATATCCCACACCTCAGCCCTGTCAGGTTTGCTCAGACACTTGAGGTCCTTAAACCTTGAAACAAAATGAAAACCAACTTAAATACAGGTACGGGTGCAGATGAACAAAACAAGATTCATACATATATAAATTCAAATAAAAAGTAAAAAGGGAAGAAAACAAGTGATTTAAAAAAAAAAAAAACACACTGAAACGCAATGCTGAGAATGAGCATAAGAAAGAATAAAGCATGACAATCTGACCTTGGGTCTAGTGCAGTTGCAACTTTCAGCCATGTGATGTTCATCTTCTCCTTGCGACTCTCCATGTCTGCTAAGAAGGCTCCTTTAAACTTGATCATGTAGGCTGGATCGTCCTCTCTGACCTCCATGACTCGCGACAGATGACACAATGCTGGCAGCACCACCGAACAAGACACAAACGTCTCTCCCCCAAGAATTTCAGACACATACCTGCAATAATATAGATAAGCACTTTAGTGGGGAACTGCTGATGCCTACTGTAATTTAACGAGAGTTCAGACACCCACAACTCATATCCACACGACACAGGTAGACATGTACAACAGACAGGTAGACATGCACACACACACACACACACACACACACACTGGCAGCACCACCGAACAAGACACAAACGTCTCTCCCCCAAGAATTTCAGACACATACCTGCAATAATATAGATAAGCACTTTAGTGGGGAACTGCTGATCCCTACTGTAATTTAACGAGAGTTCAGACACCCACAACTCATATCCACACGACACAGGTAGACATGTACAACAGACAGGTAGACATGCACACACACACACACACACCCACACACACACACCCACACACACACACACACACACACACACACACAC